GCACCATAGCGCAGAGGAAGCGCGCAGGGCTCATAACCCTGAGGTCCCTAGATCGAAACTAGGTGGTGCTACAATATTCTTTTTTTGCTTTCCGTTGCTCGCGGTCGGCCTTCCTCGCACAGCCACCGCGTGGGCGATTTATCATACCCCGCGCCCAGTTGCGTTTGTCAAACTGTCATCCGACTTTTCTCCAGAAACATACAGACAATGTCGACAATACCGCACCTACCGTCGCCGGAGCAAGGGCGTCCGTCATCGCCGCTTGATGAGAGCAACAGCAGAAGGAGTCTTTCGCCGCCGCTGCCGCCGCCCTTGTCGGTCGTGACGGCGATACCAGTCAAGCTGCCTCGCGCGCCGCCTGCAGCGCACCACCATCAACCCTCTTCTTCCGCGTCGGCACTCGCCGCCGACTCGTCCTATATGCAGAGCGTGTTTAGCGCGCTTGAGGACGCCGAGATAGCGCGCGGTGTCCCGCATACTGTGTTGGAGATGCAGACCGCTCGGGAGGGAGGACCGACTCACTCGTCTGGAGGGCCAACGTCGTCACCGCAGTTTGATGAGGCGCGAGGCAAGCAGTTGTTTGCTGTGTATCGCTCTCGCCTGCGGAGAACGTATATCCTGCCGTTGGTCACTTGGCTGCCTTCCTTTGGCTTGATTCTGGTAAGGTTGAGGCGACCAAACGCTCGCACGCAGCCATGGCTATGTCCGCCTGTTTCGTAAAGTCGCGGCTTGTCAGTGTCCTCTTCTCTGTTTCTCACACAACCTCAATCTCCCGCCTCCTTCTCTGTCCCCCTTTAGCTATATGCCGTAAAGTTCACAAACGGCACACGCACCTGGGTTGTCGTCTCGGGCATTGTATGGCTGTGTCTGCTCTTCGGCACCTGGCTAGCCTATCGCGCCAAAGTTCTGCGCCTGAAAAAAATCCACTCGCTGGGCCTGCTGGGCACGCTGCCGTCAGATGAAGTCAACGACGTGGTGATGAATGGCCGCGCGCTGCGCACTCCGCCCGTATACGATTGGGAAGAGCCGCTGCCGCCTTATATGACTGGCGATGGTGCAGGCGCGACGACGACGGCGGCGGCGGTGCTGGCGCGCCGGTCTGCAAGTGTGAGGAGCTTCTGGACTGCGCGGACGGCGGCAGCGGGGAGCGTGAATGGTGGTGCTGTTGCTGCTGCTACTCCTCCTGCTGCCGGAGCTGGCACGGGTCTGAGGCGTTGGTGGACGGCGTCATCATCATCGTCGTTTTCGGCATCCACTGCTCCCTCGCCGACTTCCTTCTCGCCTATATCCGTCACCTCCGTTGCCAACATCGTTCCGCCGCCCACCGCGTCGTCTGACTCCACGGCGGCGGCGAACGTTGATGAAATCAGAGTCGAGCCGCTGTCCCGCGCACCCACCGCCAGTCCACCTCCGTACACCACCACCACCACCACCACCACCACCAGCAGCGCGCCACTGTCGCGGCCGTCGTCGCCATCGTCTTCACCCTCTCGCAATACGCCGCCGACTCCAGCCATGCCTCAGCCATCTTCGCCAACCCTGCGTTCCGCAAATCCTCCCTTGCCAGACGTCGCTCCCGCCGCAACCATCTGAGACAGCTATATCCCCTTTACTTTGGTTGGTTGTACCCTTGTGTCTTTTGTTTTCTCCGGCCTTTATATACCCCTTGCGGCAGAACCCTTTGAAGAATCCCCTCTGCTTTGTATCATATCACAAACCTGTTATATAGAACCCCCCCCTGTTTTTGCGCCCCCCACACCTTCCCCCTTCTTCTCTCCGCCGCTGTACTTTTACGATTTTTTTTTTACATATCATTCGCGCACCCATTGATTTCTCTCGCGGCGGGTTTTACTGGACATACAGCAAGTATGTGCTTTTTCCAAAGCAGCTGCCACCTTCACCTGCCCCACATCCCTCGTTCCTAACCACAGTGTGTTTTGGCTCACCAATTTCTTAGGCTTCCATGGTACCCAAGACACAGCGGTGTGTGTGTGTGCGGGCAACGTTAAAAAATCAAAAGTTTCATCTCTTGTGCAGCAAACCGTCACACCCTCTCACAACCCTGAGCAGGCCCTATATAAGTGGCCGGAAGAGTTGTCCGGGGTTTGGGGGCGCAGACAGTACAGTACGAGAGACAGGACAGATCCAAAGGTCAGGCGACTCGTGCCTGCGCGTTGCCCCTCCCGCCGGGAACCGAGCGCTATCCCTCACGTAGTCCGATGCTCCTCCTGTCCCCACCCCGAATTCGTAACATTTATTTTAATTTTCGTTTTTGTTATTAAAGACTCGAGTTGAAAAAATGGAACTATGTAAAAAAAAGAACAGCGATAGCGAGAGAGTAAAAAAAGGAAGGGCAAAAAAAGAGTCCACACAAAAGTGTCCACTAACTGTACGCCAAACCATGTCTATATGTTGTGAGCAGGGAGAGAGAGAGAGAGAGAGAGATAAAGAAAGAGAGAGGGAGGGAGATGGTAGGGAGAGGACAAAAAACACAAAGCGCACGCCAAAAGAGTGGGGAGCGGGAGGGATTTGTTTGCTCCGCAAGCAAGTCTAAACCCGCAAACACACACACACGACCCTGGTCCGTGAAAATGGTCTTTGTTCTTTTTTCACCCCGTCGTGGTCGTCGTCAAAGTTGCCGCTCTGTTTTCTACTGCTCTTCTTTGGCGTTTTCCCTTGAAGATGCGGGCGGGCCTACTTCTTGATGACATCGAAATCAGCCGGGGGGAAAATGATGCCGTACATGACGGCAAGGGCCTCCATGATTCCCGCGACGAACTGCAGGATGAACGTGATCGGAATCCGCACAATCATGAGCAGCGGGTTGACCTTCTTGTCGAGGTCCTGCACAAAGATGCCAATGATGTAGAGGTAGACAAACACGCAGAAGGAAAAGTCCTTGAGCAGACCGAACCATCGTGGCGTCAGGTCGTGGTAGACAAAGCCGAGCGGGATCGAGGCGATGGTGCAGTACAAGCAGACAATGCCGAGCGTCCAGAAGAACGCCCACAGCTTGGGCAGGAACGCAGGGAGACGACGAATGCCGACGTACCAGCGACGGCGCTGCTTGAGGAAACCAATCAAGTCAAGCGGCGACTGCTCGCGAATGATGCCGGGCACCTTGCCGCACTTGTAGCCCATTTCCCAGGCGTGGACGGCAAACTGGAAATCTTCGGTGAGCGAGCCGAGATCCCAAGTGATCGAGTTTTCGACAACGCCGTTGGAGAGTAGGAAGGAACCGTGGGCACCAAAGATCGGGCGGCGGAAGTAGGTGTATTGCAGGTGGAAACGCGACAGATCGTCTCCGACACGAATGGCGTCGGCGACCGTGAAGATCCAGTTGTTCCAGTAGTTGTATTGGTTGTACATGATGACACCTTGGCCCCAGGTGCACTCGCGCTCGTACCAGATAAACTCGAGGACGCGCTTGACTGATTCGTCGTCAATGACCGACTCTTCGTCCAAATGCAGCACCCAGTCGTGCTCGGTGTATCGCATGGTCTGGCGGTACCACTCGAGGGCGCGGGCCTTGTACTTTGAGTTGGCGGTGGTAAAGTTTTTCGGGCACGTGTAGCAGTTGATGTTTTCGAAAAAGTACGGCTCATCGGTCAACACGTGCACGCGCACGCAAGGGTGCAGGCGTTCCAAGTGCTTGTGGGCGTTCCACGAGCGGTAAACAGCGTCACGGTTGTCACCCTTGGTGACCGTGAGAATGTACAGGTTGTCGACGCGACGCTTAGGCATGTCGCTGTCGTAGATGAACTTTGGGGTGCGGAAAGGAAGGGCCAGACCAAAGAAGCAAATAAGCGTGTACGGAATGGGCAGCAACCATCCTGAGAAGCAGGAAGCGAATGACAAAGAAAAGAGAGAGCATAAGTAACAAGGAACAAGCCAGGTAAATAAAATCTCCAGAGCGTTGAAAACAACACATACCGAGCTTCCAGTAGCAAGTGACGTTCCACAGCTCCGTGTCCGTGTATGAAAAGTCCCAGACGTAAAAGGTGAAAAGGTAGTTGACACCGAGGATGACGACCATATGGAGGATCCATGCTTCAGACAGGAACGCCATGACCAGCTTGGTGTTTCCCTTGTTTGTCCGCTCCGCAGACTCCTCGAGGAGCGCGTACGACATGCCGGGCACGTTGGGGTTGGGACCCGAGCCGGCCATGTTCTTGTTTGCGCCGCCACGGTAAGCTGGGCCGGCCCTGGGGAAAAAAAGACGCACATGGGGGAAAACAACAGAGAATAAACGGTAAGCGTGGGAAAAGAGGAGCGAGGAAAAAAATAAAAGCGTGGGAAAAACGGCGGAGGGAAAGGAAACAAGGATATAAAAAGGCGGTGCGCAATGCGACCGCCAGCCAGCTCTGGCCTACCACGCAGTGCATTGCCGGTGGCGTGCCTTTCAGGCCGGTGTTTCTCTCTCGGATTTTCTCTATCGTTTTTTGCTTACCTGGACTCTGGGGTGTCTTCGACGACGGTGCCGTCGCTTTCGCTGGCCGAGTCATCCCACTGGTTCTGGTAGGCGGCCTGAGGAGGCGGGACCATTCTAGGGTTCATGTGCTGCGGGTGGCCGTGGTAGCCAGCAGCAGCCGCCGACGAAGACGAGCCTTGCTGTCCGGCATACTGCTGCTGCATTTGCGGCGGGGCGGCGCGGTACTGCATTTGCGGCGGAGGTTGGGCGTATTCGATTCCGTCGTGCGAGTAGTTTGGGTTGCGCATGGACGACATTTGCGGCGGCGGAGGAGCGGGCGAGCGACCGTAGTTTGGGTGCTGCGGCGGCGGAGTGCCCCATTCCTGGGACTGTGCGCTGCTAGCCATGACCGAGGACGACGAGGGCGTTGTTTAAGGGGGAGGAGGAAGCGAGCGAGCGAGCGGGTGGCGGCAGGCAAGCGGGGACAAGGACAAGGACGGCGACTTTAGGCAGAGTCCTGGGACGCACAGCAAGCAAGCAAGCAAGCAGGGTAGCTAGCTAGCAAGCAAAAGATGGAAGGAAAGGGAGGAAGGGAAAAGGAAGGAAGGAAGGAAGTAGGAGGAGGAGGACGGAGGGCACTCGCTCCTTGTTTATTGGGAGAG